GTAGGATATTGCTCTTCTCATGTGATCCCTCCCCCATGGCTCTCTTGGCTCTATCACTGTTCATCTAAAGTGGCTAATTTGAAATGAAGCTCCCCGCCCCTGACACGACTCCCTATGGCACTGAAATGAAATGTAGACTGTAATTTGGCATGTGAGAAGTGAAAGGGATGGTGGTGGCCCTGAGGGAAAAGAGAACAGCTTGGCTCATTGTGTTAAATAGGTGTCAGCAAGCCCCAAACTGCCGAATGAGCTTTGGGTAGGGAAGGCTGTGCCTCCCCAAACAGCCGGAGCTGGGCCTCTGGGTCGTCAGGTCCTGGGTCGCTGGGGTCTCCATCCTCCAGGCCATCGGCTGGGGTCCCAAGGTCCCTCTCCGGTCCTCTGGAACAACAAACTCCCTCTCCCCTCCCCTCGTTAAACCAGTAACACCCAGGGAAACTGAGTCCCACCCCCTCCGCATGCAAACCATTGGAAAAACACAAGAAAACCCCCCATTTTTTTCACACCAGCGCTGTGAGCTTCCTTGCAACAGTGCCCTGGCAGTCCAACCTGAACCCCAACCCGGAGCCAGCCAGTGCCTTGGACACGCGAGGGGAGCCCCCCGGGGGGTGCAGTGGGGTGTGGGGGGGGCATGCTAGGTGTGACGGAGCAGGGGAGTTACATTGGGGAGTGGGGGCTGCCCTTGCAGGGAGATCCCTGAGCCAGGAGGGGGGTGGGAGAGGAGGAGCTGGGGGGGGAGAGGAGCTGCGGGAGGGGTTTGGGTTTGGTTTCAGTTGGGGCCGGGTGGTGCAGCGCAGGGAACCCCAAGCTGGGGGCTAAGCTCCCTGAACCCCCCAGAGGATTTGATTGGGGGGTCCGGGTTGTACCTACACGCTCTGTTTTAACCTGTGTTCCCACTGGCCAATCACCCGCCCCTGTTCCCGGCGGGGGAATCCCCGACCCCCCCACGCCCCGTGACACGGGGGGGCTCCCGAGGGGGGTCAGGGGGCGGGGCCACAGGGGGGCGGGGCTCTGAGCTTGTTTTTCATGACCTCATCAGTTCAGAGGGTAGAGCCCTGACGTCACCACCGGCCCGGGCTCGCCATTGGCTGCAGGCGCTGTCCCGTCACACAGCGGAGGGCTGGGCGGGGCTGGGAGCGAGTTCGTGTCCCGCCCCAGCGCCGCAGCTGCCGCCGGACTCGGAGCGTGGGGAGCCGGGGC